CAGCGCAAAGAAAGGTTGAAATGAGGGCAAAAATGCCAAAAAATGAGAGGTAGGGACGTTTTCCACAATAGACTTGAAAGGTAAGGACGTTTTGTGCCAATTACCCTAAGTTGAAATATAAAGAATTAATTGGCATCCATTTTTACTTCCTGAAGAACGATCTCCTACTCTACATGAGTTGATAAAAAATCTTGTAGATTAAGAATTGACAAACTTAGCAAGATTTGTCCAGTTTTGAAGGAGCCAGATTGATAGCATGGCTTCACTTGACAATACTTCTATAAAATGACCCAGATAAAAAGAAAACTAACCAAAACTCAGCCATTTCACTTGACGGAATCTGCTTAGATAAAGATTCATAGAAGATCCTCACGGGTTCTCGCTGTTCACATAAAGAACATGGAAAAGAACGAGAATTCAGACAATATAAACTTCCTACAGATAATAAGCAAACAAAACTTTAAAGGGAATATAAGAGAAACAGAACCTCTTCAGGAACATCATATTTCTGTCCCGGCAAGGAAAAAACTTTCTTCTCTCTGGTTTTGGTCACCATTTTTTTGACAGTCTTTGATGAACTCGATGTTGTTTTCATTTTTAGCTTCACTTGAGCAATAAGTAATTGAAAAAAAAAATCAAAACCAAGATGATAAATAACTATGAAGTTATAATTTTTATATATAAAAAAAAAGGAACATGCACTTTCACATATTCACAAATTAAATAATTTTTATTTATAAAAAAAGGAACATGCACTTACACATATTCACAAATTAAATCAGAATTATACAAATTGGCGATGCAACTGAGGACGAGTTCATGTGCTCAAGGCTCAACTGGAACTCCCGAAGGTGAACAAGAGGAAACGGCCATGAAGAGGCATGGCAAGGCCGATGGGCTGCTGCTTATTTCAGTTTTTCTAGTCCTTTTTTATTGCTTCAGTTATTTTATTTCTGCACTTGTAGTTATTATTGTTCGAAGGGGAGAATATTCTTCTATGATTTTTCTTCATTTCCTTAAAACACAAGAACTAGGATTAAAGTCGGCTAGTTGATTATTGAAATAAAGTAAAAAAATTAATGAGTTTCTCCAGGTCTTGATCTAACCTCTGTGTTATGTGGAATCTAAAGAGATCACATGTTTGTTTCTGGTGTACGATTCCACTGCATCAATTGGGATCCATAAACACCCAATTCATTGTTAATTACTATTACACCATGTCGGATAATCCAATCTCAGTAAATTTAAAGGGGCAAAAAGAAAAGAAAAACTACAAATTGTGAGCACAATAAAATACAAATCCGTACAGGAAGTCAGGCCTCAAGATTAAAGAAAAACAAAAACAGTAAAACCGATCAAATATATCACAGTAAATGAGTACAGAAGAAGTTTGAAATGATACAAAGCAATGATTTTGGCTAATGGCAACCTCATTTTACATATAAGAATGATGCACAAAATAAAGATACAAAATTCCCAATTGACTTCATCCAAAAAGGGGTGATTTTGGCAGATGGGCACCTCAATCTATAAAGAACGATGCACAAAATAGAAATAAAAAATTCCCAATTGATTTACATACAAAAAGAGATGGTTTTGGCAGATGGGCACACAAAATAGAATACTAACTCCTGATTGATTTACATACAAAAAAACATGATTTTGGCAGATGAACACCCCCGAATTATATAGATGTACAAAATTCCCAATTGATTTTGAATACAGAAGTGAATAACTTTGGCAGATGGTTGCCTCAGTTTATGTACAAGAATGATGGACAAAATAAACACACAAAATTTTCAGTTGATTTTCATACTAAAAACCATGATTTCGGCAGATTATATAGGAGTACAAAATGCCTAATTTAGCAGAAATACACCTCAATTAAGAGCAAAATAAACAAAATAAAAACCAAACCGCACTATATCAAAAAATTATAAGCTGGGCACCTCAGATTTGGAGATGGATTTCTCTACAACTTTCTTCTTCTTGACAGATGAATCAATCCTGACCTTTGATGACGATGACCCATCACCACTAGATTTGAATTTTATCCCACCACTAGATTTGATCTTTGAAGCCATGGATTGATTTTAACTGTGTAGACAGGCTGCAATTTTGACCTGTTAAATCCGATTTCTCTATCTAGATTTGCAGACCTGTCAATTGAATACGCATCGCATGATAAATCTCTATCTTGTGTAATGAAATAAAAAATGGAAAAAGAAAGCAGAATGGCGTGCTGGGTTTTTAACTGCTGCCAATAAAGTCATGAACCCAGTTACCCAAATCTACTGTTGCATTGCAACTTGCATGTGGTGATCATGTTAAATTTGCCCTTGTTCTTAAAAATAAATAAATTACCTTTTCAAATATATATAATAACGGTGGATTTATGATAGAATAAAGTGGATAATTGTCATTTATACTTAGGGCTAAGCCCATAAACCGAAAACCACAAACCTGACCCAAATCAATTTAGACTAAAAACGGGTCAAATCGGGTTCCAAACAAGTATACATTTATCTGGGTCATGTTGGTTCAAGTTTAAACCCACTTAAATCGATTGATAAGTGCGTTTTACCACTTATTCGGTCCACAAAGTATGACTAATTATTGATCAAAGCAAAGATTATGACTTAATTCTGTATAATTTTGTTTTTTAGGATTATATTGATGGATATAGCGGAATTCAAGAGAAAAGAAAAGAAAAATGGGAAACTCCAAAGTATGAAGACTAAATTACAACATTTCAATAATTGATTCGGACCACAAAATGAAGATTAAAGGTGTAGTGGATTCAATTGGATCAAATTAAAGTCAGTTGTGGATTCAATTGGATCAAATTAAAGTCAAGGGGTTGAAAATGCAAGAGAAAATACTTGAAAGAATTAAGAATTGACTTGAAAGGTGTTGTGGGTTCAATTGGATGCAAATTAAAGTCAACGGGTTGAAAATGCAAGAGAAAAGACTTGAAAGAATTAAGAATCAACTTCGGGGGCTAAAATGCAACATTCAAGAGTTTTTATAACTGAGCGACAACTCGGTTATTTAGAGTGAGCAACTGCCGAACGTCAAAAAACAATTACCAAGAAAAAAAACTTTGTATTGGGCAACTGCCTGAGTTTTGCCTATGCAATCGCAACGAAAAATTTCTTGTTTCCTATTTTGATGAAATTCTTATGGAAACAAATCTTTTGAGGTATTTTACAACCCTAGGACCATCCCTAAGCATACATCATGCATTATAACACATTCATAAGGGTTTTTAGAGAGGAAAACAAGGCAAGAACGAGGAGATTGTTATCAAGACGCAAGGATTCAATTCAAAATTTAAAGTAGTGATGTCTTTTCTTTATTATTTAGTTTGTTTTCTTCTTCCTATCATGCTAGACTAGATTTTTATGCACTAAGAGATCGATAAACCTTGTAATGTGATTCTTAATTCCTTGTTTCATATTTTTTTATATTAAACCATGTTTGATTATCTTAAATGGTTTATACACATTTAATTTCTTCCACAATTAAAGGCCCGTAATTGTGCGAGTTTAGGTGACTTGTTTCTTGCATTCAAGAGAGGGGGAATAGGTTTGTCACGGTATAAATCATTGTATGGTCTGATAGGGAATAGAGATATACCGCTATGTCCTACGTGAATCTCTTAGTACTCACAAAACCACATGCATTCTTATATATTTGCACTCGTCATAGAGATATAGGCTGGTGGTATATGAGAGTAGGTTTAACATTACTTGAAAGAGAATGTTGGACAGATTTAGGAGCATAGATTCTTCAAAATTTCATAGTGTTATTAATTTGTGAAATTATGGT